CATACCCAGTAATGCCCGAATGCAAACTCATTCTTAGCCCAACTCTGCCCACTGCCAACAATAGACGGGTCAGTCTGACTTCAGTCCTGGGGAAGATCTTTGAAAAAATTGTCAAGGAGGACATCACCCACAAGCTTGCATCTGGTGTCCTTTTATGACCAGGTAACTACCCACCTGGACATGGGTCAGGAGGTGGATGTCATCTACCTAGATTTCAGCATGCCTTTGATACTGTTTCCCATGAAAGCCTCTCAGTTAAGTTGGAGAGTACTGGCCTAGACCAGGTTACAGTGAAGTGGGTTGAGAATTGGCTTAGTGGCCAATTCCAGCAAGTCTTAATTGATGGGGTGGCCTCATCCTGGAAGGCTGTCTCCTTCATCCAAGTCATGAATAAAGATTTTGAAGAGCACGGGCCCAAGCACTGCTCCCTGGGGTACACCACTGGAGATGTTGAGGTAATCAGGTAGAATAGACTCAATGGATGGAATAATCGTTCCTGTGTGCTGGTTTGTCTTGCAACGTTTGTTAGGGAGTTCTTCATAATATTTGGACAGTAGGAAACTAAACAATGGGTGCCTGCTTTGCATTTCTGTCTGCAGGACAGACACCTGTGTCTGGTGGATCTTTCTAGCACCTCACTTCATGAAGGATGTGGACAAGCTCAAAAGGATGCAGAGAAGGGCCACCTGCATGATCAAGGGCCTGGGGGACAGGCCGTATGAGGAGAGTCTTTGAGAACTTGATAGCCACCTACAAATATGTCAAGAGAGAACAGGACCTAGGTGAACAACTTTTCAGAAACCCCATCTGCCTTCCCCTGGGAATGGACACAAGCTAGTCGAGGAAAAGTTTTAGCCGGACATAAGGAAAAACGTATTTTCTGTACGGCTAACTAGAATCTGGAACAGCAGAGGTGGTGCAGTCGCTATCTCTGGCGGTTTTTAAGAGGAAGCTGGACAAATACCTCATTGAGCTTGTTTGAGCCCAATTACCTCCTGCCCATGGCAGGGGATAACACTTAATGATCTATAGGTCCCTTCCGGTCCTTCTTTCTATGATTCTATGACTGTTGCACAAAAGGCACAGTAAGCTGCCAAGCACAGGTGGGCCAACACCCAAACAAAGATGGAGATGATAGCAACTCTTGTTAAGTCTTGCACCACATGGGCCACTAAGGCTAAGAAGTAGAAGAAGAGTCAGGAGATGTTCCGAAGGCAGGACGTGGCCATGGTCTGCCACAGCATCAAGCAGTCCAGACAAACCACCACATGGCTGGCCAGCAATGCCAAAGCCCATACCCACACCTCTGCTATCGCCAAGCAACAAGAAGCCCTGCTTGAATCTGTGAAGGCTGACCAGGAGGCAATGGATAACCTGTGTCTGTACTGAACTTGCAGCCTGATGCAATCCTGTGTGCTCTTCACATCATGCCACAGTACCACATGCTGCCAGGGCAGCCCACAGGTCAGTGGGTATACATGTACCCTCCAGGCTTCCAGTTGCCACAGCCCCTGCAGTTGGAAGCAACTGTTTGGTAAGCCTCAGCTTTGTCCACACAGTAGCATGTCCTTGCCTGCAGCTGTGGTTACTGATCTAAGACCCCTTCCCATATCAGTGCTTGGGAGTGCATGCCCAGCAGTCATGAGGGAGCCATATTAGCACTTCCCAGGCAAGCACTGGAGCCATGGCAGACAGCACAGCAGGAAGCCTGTCCTTTTTCAAGGACTCTGGCAGCTGGGAGGAGGGCAAGTACTGAGGGGAGCTGTGAGCAGTGGCCAGGCCATGGCGGTGGGGTAAGTTGCAGCCTGGTATGAGAATGACTTGTGGAGGGAGGAGGTGAGGGCAGCATGCCCCACCCCATCCATTACTCCTTGTGCTGTTGGCAGCATGGCTGGCATGGGAGTCCAGGTAGTGGCTGTGGCAGCAATGAGTCTTGCCACCCTGCTCCACCCTCCCATGCTGGGTCCTGCCCGCTGTGCTGCAGAGGTGGCTTCTGCCTCTGCTGGTCTGGCCAGGCTGCAGCCCCATGCTCTCTGTGGGTGCACAAATCTGGGGGGCACATGCTCCCCCATGCCCCTTTGACGTGTCACCTGTGTGGCCTTCCCCACCCGCACTGCCCCATAGACTTACCTGCAGGGAGCTGCTAGAGCTGCTCTCCACACTGCACCCCCTGCCTGATCGCCCTCCTTCCACTCCCCCAAGTTCTTACAGGCTGGAGCTCTGCCAGCCTGTAAGGGGATACCTGCAGTTTCCCACGTTTTTCTATTTTAAAGGAGAAAATCCACATTCTTCTGCTTTTTTTCTATGGCAAACAGAAAATTAGTATATACAGCATTAACATATGGTGAAGCACAAGCAGCATCTATGTTGTCAAAAATATATACAAAATATGATCCATTTTTAAAGTTTGTTCATGACCCTTTCATGTATTCTTGTGACCCACTTTTGGGTTGCAACCCATGGGTTGAGAAACACTGGTCTAGGATCAGCGGGCTGCCTGCTGGTTCAGTAACGGGCAGGCTGATGGGCCCCTCGGGCATAACTGACCTGTGCCTGGGGAAACAGGGTTTTTTTTTCTATGCTGTTGTGGGGTGTGAAACTTTTCATTGTGTTTGTGTCTGTTCTGCATTTTAAATAAATGTCACCATTAAATGAGACCTGTGATTCTCCTTGCTTATCTGGGGAGGAAAATAAACACCTGCTTTTGCCTCGCATCTCACAACCCAGCAACCACCCTCCTGCCTAGCATCCATTCCACCAACCACCCCTTCCCCCCCAGAGGGAAAACAATGTTCCTTTTTCAGAGGGTCTATATCGTGAGCTGTGTTCCAAACTGGGAGCACCCCTTCCCTCAACTCTGCCCTCTGGGCAGTGCTCATACTACATAGCTAATATCACAGCCGTCACTGCAGCTCCATCCTACACTCCCCCGCTCTCCTGAAATACACAGCAGTCCACCACCAGTGCTGGAAGTAACCATGGGAAAATTCAGATTCTGTTTCAAGAGTTTAATGGGAAGCAAAGTTTGATAGATTTTCAAACCTTAATAGTACAGGGGAAAATAAAAGTACAGCTTTAAGTACAGTTTAATGCAGCTTAATAGTACCAGGGATGCTCTTACACCTGACCTCCATTCCCAACATGGCACCACTCTGCCCTTCCAAATAGTCATGCAAAGTGATCTGCCCATACATATAGTGCCTCATGATTGCTCTCCAGAGACCATTCATGCGCCATGATGAAAGCCATGGGAGCCATGGGGCACTCTAGTCTCATTGTCCATACCTTGGAAATAGCCTCCCCCTTGGCCTCACAGATGAAGATGATCAAACAGCTCACTGGCATCCAGACAGGACTTCAGGGACCTCCAGTGTGCCTTGAGGAATCCAAAAGCGTACTCCATAGACATTTGGCAACTTCTGATGTGGTAGTTGAAAAGTTCTTTATGGGCTTCTAGCTGCCCTGTGAAAGGCTTCATCATCCCTTTGCATTGGATACATGGGGTCCCTAGTTAGCAGTGGAAGCACACTCACACCCTCCACCTATATGCTGGGCATGCCAGGGGCAAACTCCCCCCTGCTTCAGATGCCCAGTGGGGTGCAGCTCCAGCCAGTGCTGCACATCATGGTGAAGGGTGCAGCCTTCCCTGCCACTCATGCACAACTCCTGCACTCACTGGGCTCAGAAGGGAAACCCTGCATGCTGGAGCTGGCTGCCTTTCTTGCTGGGGCTGCGCAGCAAGAGAGGGAAGTCCCCTGAGGGGTAGGGAAGGCAGCCAGGTCCAGTGCCTGAGGCTTCTCTCCAGTCCTGTGCAGCCCTGGTGGGGAAAGCAGCTGGCTCCAGCACTCAGGGCTTCCCTCCTGTGCCTGGCGAGTGCGGAGGATGCACATGTGTGGTGAGGAGTGCCAGTGATATAGACTGCCTGGGGCTGGCTGCGCCCCTCTTTACGGTGTGTAATGCTGGCCGGAGCTGTGTCCCACCAAGCACCTGTACCCTGAGTGTCCCGCTGGCTGCTCCTGCCACTGCTACCACCTACAGGGGCTATGCGCCATGGTGGGAGTGTGGGGGGGTCCCCCCACTCACACCCACAAACTGCCCACCCAAGCTCCGCATTGCTGCCAGCTCCACACACCGCACTCCTGCCCAGCTGCAGCTCTGCTCCTGCTGCTTCCCTACCTGCTGCCCGGAGCCAGCAGGAGACCGGGGAAGTGGAACACATCCTTGGGGGCTGCACGCTGGCCAGGCCCTTCCTCCCACAAGGGTGGAAGCGAGACAATAGGGTATGTTTGGGGCTGTGTGTACATGTGGGTGCCTTGCTCCTACCCTCATGGGCGGAAGGGCTGGGCAGGGCACAATTTGTTGGTGGGCGCAGCGGGCTGGATGAAAGTGTTTGGTGGGCCAGATCTGGCCCGCAGGCCATATTTTGCCCTGCCCCTGCAGTAGACCAATACGGCTACAAACTGGATACCTAAAAACCATCTTATTCTTCTAAAGATGCACTAGTTCTGCATGGCTAAAATAAATATAGTCATAATTATGTTGTTTCAGGAATCAAATCTGCAACGTAAAACGGCATGATTTATACCTGTCACTTATCAGACAAGAACTACCTGTTAAGATACACTGATTCAAGCAGACAGTTTCAGAAGGATTGGGATTCAGATGGAAAATGTAGCCTGCACCTGTAAATGGGGATTTGTAATATTTGGAGGTTAACCTGAAGGCTGTGTTGCAAAGGGCATAATCTAACCCTGGAGTTTATATCACTTGCATATCCTGCATTTGACAGTTTAGAAGATTATATAGTAAACAGTCAGGCTAGACTGTAAATGACCTGTTTTTCCAAGATTATTGATGTTACATCCTAATTTCTTTTGGCCTCCATTTGCAGTAATGTCTTTTCCATTCTCTTTTGCCTCTTTGTATCAATATATTCTATGGTAAGATCAGGTTTAAAATAATAATGTAGGCATGTCTTTATCACCAATTAATAGATTATTTTTAATAATTTGCTTATATAAGTAGATTTCAAAGGAAAAGAAAGAAGCCAGAATCCGTGAACTGGAGGCCAGATTGAGTGAACTGGAACTGGAAAAAGTTAAACTGGTAAACACCTGCACTGAGAGGCTCCGTGCAGTAAAAGATATAAAACTGGAAAAGGACCAACTCATGAATGAGCTGAAAGCCAGTCGTACTGAGCTAGCCAGCCTCACAGGTAGGGAGCTTCAAGCTCAAATATGTGCTAAATCAGGCTGATGTTAAAAATAGAAGAGCAGCCTGCTTAATCCAAATATGGCTGCTAGTAAGGTCAAGTACATGGTTCCCAAATGGAGTGCCCTGACTACTTCAGAGATCTAATTCATGATTTGGAATCATGGTACAAAATGATGAAGATACAATCTAGGCTAGAAAATCAAATCTACTATGTGACAGAATATAAACTTCGCCAAGTGCCCTCCAACTTTCCTAAGTGTTAAACATAGAAGTTGACAAATGCTAGGAACTCTTCATTGCCATTATTAATGGGGGTTTTTCATTTCTGTTTTGTTAGGGCTGTAAATTATTGAAAACCTTGTATCCTGACCCCTCAGGACTAGAACCTTAGCAAATGTGTTCCTTAAATACAGTGTAGGAAGGAAGCTCAAGATGCCAGGGACATACATTATGTGTTAGCAACCAAAAATATTTGGGTCTGCATCAGAAGCTGGGATAATTAGGAGCTGAGATTACACAAGGATATTTTCTTTCACCAAGAACTCAATGAGATCACTACTTATGTCAACATTAACAGTCAGGCCTACTGTAGTTCATATGCTTTCCCATTTAAACCGTCACTTTGCACTCATAGACACCTCCATTTATTTTCAGATGATGCACCTGCCACAAAGACAGTCCCAAGAACCACAGTTTAAGTCTGACTTCAGCAAAATTAATATACGTTAACCATGTACATGATTTTATGTGGGAAGTTGGAGTGGTATGGCAACCATTGCTGACCAGTGAAGGTTGGGAGAATGTGTGGTGGGTCAGAGCTGAGTGAAAGAGCTTGAAACCCCATGAGCCAGAAGAAGGGTGTGGGACCAGTTAATAGTGTGGTTGGATGGTGTGGGGCTGGCCCCACAGGCTACATAGGACCCATGGAACACCTTCTCCCACCCCCCCATGCTGCTCCCACCCCTCAGTGATTGCTCCAGCTGGTCTGGGATACAGCAGGAAGAAGCCAGGCATTGCAAGTGCTTGGCGGCAGCCACAGCAACAAGTCATGATGCCAGGCTTCTTCCCATGGTGCTGCTGGGGCTCCAGCAAGCCAGTCAGAGTTATGGTGCTGAAGCCCCAGCAGCACCCCAGATTTTTGCCCCACAGGTAGCCAGACACCTGGATTAGAGCAGTGGTGCTGGAGCCCTAGCAGTACTGAGGGAAGAGGCCCAGCAACATGGTTTCGTTCTTGCATTAGCCACCAAGTGCTGGTGATGCTGGGCTCCTTTCTGCAGTACTGCTTGGGCTTCAGTGTCAAGGGCCTTCAACGCCCAGATGCTTGGCTACTGCCTCAGCAAGGTCTCCTATCAAAGCTGGAGGCTGGATGCTCCAGCTTTGTGGGCAGGATTCAGACCACAGGCTGAATATTCAACACCCCTGTTTTAAAGGATTAAATGCAACTGTATAATTTTGGTGTAACAGGCAGGAGCTGTTTAATCATTTTATGATTTTATTCTTGTACTTCCGTTGAGCAGAGGAATATGAAAATTTAAAGCGGAGTTATCAAGACAAAAGTGAAGAGGTGGAAACTACCACAAACAAACTGAAAATGCAATTGAAATCGGCCCACGCTGAGTTGGAACAAACCAGAGCCACTTTAAAGACTATGGAAGGCTCTGATGGCCATGGTAACCATGGAGGGTTTTAATTTATTAAAACTTATTTATCTTTTTAACAGGAGCAATTTGTAACTGCTGTTAGTATTTTTAGATATAATTTTATAAAATGAATGAAGTAGAACTGCATATGCAGACACTTTCCAGGGTTGTGTTGTTGTTGACTAGACTCCTTAATAAGTGAAAACACTTATAACTAGAGTTGAAGTTCAGTGTAAGAATTAAGAACATAATGGCTCTGCCATTTACTGAGTCAAACCATAGGTCAATTAAGCTCAGTATCCTGTCTTACAAAGTGGCAGAGCATGAATGCCAAGGGGCAGATGATAAACGGGAGAGATCCAGAATCTTACAGCCCCAACTCCTCTATCTGCATAATCCTCACTTCACAATTCTTTTCTATCTTTTTCATGTACTGGGCCTGATACTACCATCCCTTTCAAGACAAAACTCCCAATGACTCAGGGACGTTTGCTTCTTATGCTAACTGTGGAAACCCTACCTGTTATATGTTTTTAGTGTATTATTGACAACTGGCCTCTGAAGTCTTTCATCAGAAGTCAGAAAGCATAGTGCCTAATCCATTTTGTTCATAGACAACTAATTGCTTGGGAACTTGTCTTTTACAGCTATGAAAGTTGCAATGGGAATGCAGAAGCAAATCACAGCCAAGAGAGGACAGATAGATGCGCTGCAGAGCAAAATTAAATTCTTGGAGGAGGCAATGACAAATGCGACTAAGGTCACAAGAGCTTCATGTAAAACTATTTAAGTATATTTAGATAAATAGTTCCAAGCAGAAACATAGGGCCAAATTCAGAGATTAGCCTGAGAGACCAAAGCAAGTATTAGTTGATATAATTTACACTTTCATCTGGCCTCCCTCCTGTGTGTATTACACCAAGTAGCATCTTGCCAAACTTCATTACACTTACTCTGAATGAGGATCATGCCCTGAGTGCATCTACACGTGCACTTTACTGTGGACTAGACTAATTAGCTCAGCAGTAAAGCATGACCATCTACACATGCACTGGTATTAGGAGACAGTAAACTAATTAGCTCGACTGTAAGATAATACTGTTAGGGACAGTACTATCTTACAGCAGAGCAAGTAAGTGCACTGAAACACGTGTAGACGGTGACAGGTGCTGGCTGGGGCATGAGGGTGTTAAAGTGTGGGAGCTGCCTGTCACCTAGCCACGTGGCTCCACACTCTCAGCACCCTTGTGCACCTGTTAGGCCCACTCCCACCCAACACTGCCACCCAAAGCCCGGGCTGATCTCCTTGTGCCCCTTGCTAGCCCAGAGCTGCTCTGCCCCGGCTCAAAGTGCTGCTGTCCTGGGCGCACATTTAGATGCTGTGCCTGGGAGTTGTTTCAAATGGCTCTGGAGTTGCACATATAGATGCACCCACTAAATTAATTTATACTTATCTGATTGTGCATAGGAGCCTTAAAATTAGCATATATATAATTTACTGCCAGAGCAGTATAAAATGGCTTTAGAGCACATGAGAATCAGGCCCTTATTTATTTACAGACTTGCTTACATTCATGCCGACTTACCATCACCTAACCAATATCCGTCCTCACACATCCCTCTGAGTCTGGCCTACTGTACTTATCTGATGGGTTTATTTTGACACCAAATTTGAGTTATGAGCCAGTTCTTCAACTAGAATAGGTCCATCAAATCAATGGATTACAGCAAATGAAAACTTGGTCTTCTTTTTTAAGTATATTAAAATGTGTATGTTCTCAGTAAAAATGCATCAAATACATCTCTAGTGGCAGGTATTGAATTTGACCTTCTTGCCAGCACCATGTCCTCTAAGCCTTCACACAATGCCATCTTCCTATTGTAAAATTCCTGTTTCATATAAGAACAGTAGCTGAACTTTTAGGATTCAACCAAAAACTTAAAAAAGCTGAAGAAGTTCATAAAGGCATGGAAAATAGATGTGTACAATCTTAGCAGTTATAAACAGTTGTCTCACATCTACTTTTGCATTCACTTCTATAAATACAGGAGAAGCATTACCTGAAAGAAGAGAATAATAAACTGAGCCAAGAACTGAGTTGCACTGCAACAGAAAACAGCAAGATGGCTGAAGAACTGGAGATCCTAAGGTCACAAGATCGACGTCGGAAAGAAAAAATTGCTAACATGGAGGCAGCCCTTGATAAGGTAGTATTTGTTTCAATCAGACCGTTTATTCTGTTTGCTTTTCTTTACCAATTTCTTTGCAGTGAAGACATTTGTATTTTTATCTGTGCTACAGCATATACTTTTTACTCCCCTGTACTGTATGTTTTACATAATGAGGTGACAGCTATTAAGGCCCTCCCTTAAACGCCATGTCTGATTCTGAAAACAGAAACCTTAAAATACTGCCTGTTGGTCCAAGGAAGTATCTATACCTTAGTCAGACAGGATTGCTACATCTAGTGGGGCGTTCAGCCCCAAGGGAATTGGAATTGTTATTTGCACTGCTACCTTTCCTGGGATGTTCTGATGGGAGGACAGTTTTAAACTGTGCTCAGCAACTGTGTGCTCTCTCCTATGGCCATGTGGCCCAAGAAGAACTTTGCCTGGCTTTGCTTCTCTCAGCAGTAAGGTAGCTGCTGACTGGCTGGTGGCAGAAACGAGAGCAGGTGTTTGTTTGTTTGTTCATTTGTTTGATTTATAGCTGCCCTTCCCAACAAAGGCCCCAGGCAGCTTACAACAGAATAGAATAACTTATAAAACAGGAAAAATGCTTATAAAACAGGAGAAAACAAAACAAAAACCCACTAAACAATATTGTAGCCTAGCTTTGTTTGCTAAATGCCTGTCCAAATAGGAAAGTCTTACTGCACTCCCAAAAGATGTCCAGGCTTGAGTTCTGATGGGCCTACCTGGCTGGGGTCACCTGACCCTACCTGGCTGCAGTCACCTGACCCCCCTGGCTGGGGTCACCTGACCCCAGATGTCTTTCCTGCTCATGCAGTGGGCTGGACCTGATGATCCTTCAGGGTCCCTTCCAGCCCTATGATTCAGTGATTCAAGAAATTCCAGACCTGAGGGTTGACTACTCAGAACGACCTCCCACACGTTTTTGCCAAGCTGACTTGGCTCATTTATGGTATTTTACAGGTTTCTATGCTCACAATAACTCACATACTGAGGCCCATGTATAGTGTAGAAGAATCAGTGTAACTTAAACACAGAGAGGACAAGAGCCAGGCCCAGTGGGATAGGTCCTGCAGGAGGAATGTACTGGGGTTATAAAATGTGATGGGAGGCTGGGATTGTCTTGACAAAGTGGTGACATCCTGTGTCTTTCAAAGCAGATGATAGTGTAAGAGTGATGTTATAACCATGATGGTCCAGAAATTTCTTCTGTTGGAAGGCTGTCATCAGGTATTTTTGGCATCACGTTTGGGTCTGTTACATAGCTGTCAAATATTTCTCCAAGTTAGTGTTTCTTAGTTTAGTAGCATAAGTGAGTAGCTCCTGTTTAAACTGATCCCTTTTGGAGGGTAGGTGAAGAAGATAGTTTCTCAGTTTTTCTGAAGTTCTCCTGCATAATTGTGTTGCATATATAGAGTTCTGTGTGTTAGCTAGAGGGTTGTAGATGATGAGTCCCCTTGGGAAGGAAAAGAAGCCAAAACGGTTGATAAATTGACAAACAACTGGCATTTCCTAGCTTCCAAAGGGTTGCCTTTGCAATGTGAATATATATATTTTTAATGTAGATGTGTGTGTAGTGTGTGCATGCCTGCAATAGAGTATTATATTGACTTACTGCAGTGATTCTCAACCAGGGTTTGCCATATCTTTTGAAGGGTGTCTTGAGGTGTGAGAAGGTAAGTGAGATGTAAGGAGATAAGCAGATAAACTAAGCAGATAAGTACAGGCTCAAGCTTGTCCCTGCCTGGACTGATCCTCCATCCCCACATCCAGGCCCATCTGCAAGGAAGTAAGCACTGTCACCTGTAAATTAGTTTTTGAAATTTGGGTGCCACTTAATTCAAAAAGATAGAGAGGAGTTCCTCAAGTCCAGTGAGGGGTGCCTTGAGTTCAAACAGTTGAGAATCACTGACTTACTGTCTCAAAAGATGCAGGAATTGTACCAATTAACAGTGTGAGGCTTGTGCTGTCTCAATGTAAGGGGTTGAAAACTAACACACATTTCAAAAGTACTTTCAGTAAAGCAGTGAGTAAGGACAGGATAGACAATACCTACCTTTCTTGCCTGGAAGAGCCTCCAGTGTGTAGAAAGCATAAAACAGAATTGATCAGCTTGCTGCTTATAAATGATTTCAGAACTGACTATTAAAAAAAGCTGCTGCTTCTTCATACGGGAGTTTCTAATGATGTTTATGGACAATTATTTATTCACAAATGCTTCTGTGCACATGCTTTTATGTCATGTGAAAATTGTAAAGAATCACAGAAAGAAAGTTAGATTTTCCTCTAACTGTACAAGGAACTTTATTAGAACAATGAAAACATAATTATGTTGAGATGTTCTCTCTCGTTTCTCATTGTAGAGCTTGGGTTAGACCCTTCCCTAACACCAACCTCTTAATTTTCTGGTACGCATTTAAAGAAACAGAATATATATTATCAGATCTTCCCTTACGCTTTCTGAATAAACTATTTTAACTAGAAATCAACTTAAATAACAAAGCATAGGTCAAAAAATGAGCAACACCACCCCTCATCCATTTTAAAGTATTGAGGAAGGTTTTGTCTCCTAGCACATTTTAATTACTAATTCCCAAAGGCGTTCAGTAGATTTTTGATTCTCCCTGAAGGATGACCTTTCTTTAATGTTGTGACATGCATATAATTGATGCTAGGATTATATAACAATTCAAATGCCCCTGGAACTCTGCAGGGTAGGCCCTTGCTGCTCTTATATTTTTAGATAGCATCTAACACATTGCTGACATTATGCAAATATATGTACTTGAGAGAAAATATTAGTATCTTTAATTTATTGAAAATAAGCAAATGGTTTGTTTTGTCTCTTATAGGCATCTATGCAATTTGCAGAATGCCAGTGCATAATCCAGTGTCAGGAACAAGAAGCAATGCGCTTCAAGCTGCAGCATGCTTTGGATGTAAAAGTAAGTTCTCTAGTGTAAATATGAGCAGTGAAATAATATGCTTTGCTGATGATTCTAATATCAACACTACCCTTATTTCTTTCCAAAATATTCACAAAGAACCATGTTCTGGTATCATTAATCAGGTTGTGTAGCACATCACTCTGCAAGTGGAGCCAAGAATATTTGAATGCTCGTGGTGCACGGGTAAAGTCCCGGAGGACTGGAAAAGGGCCAATGTGGTCCCCATTTTCAAGAAGGGGAGGAAGGAGGACCTGGGCAACTATAGGCCAGTCAGTCTCACCTCCATCCTCGGCAAAATCTTTGAAAAAATTATCAAGGCTCACATTTGCAAGAGCCCGCCAGGACAAATTATGCTGAGGGGAAACCAGCACGGGTTCGTAGCAGGCAGATCGTGCCTGACTAATCTGGTCTCTTTTTATGACCAGGTTACGAAACGCGTGGATACAGGAGGAGGGGTAGATGTCGTGTACTTAGACTTCAGGAAGGCCTTCGATACGGTATCCCACCCCATACTGGTGAACAAGTTAAGAGGCTGTGACTTGGATGACTACACAGTCCGGTGGGTGGCGAATTGGCTAGAGGGTCGCACCCAGAGAGTCATGGTGGATGGGTCGGTTTCGACCTGGAAGGGTGTGGGCAGTGGGGTCCCGCAGGGCTCGGTCCTTGGACTGATACTCTTTAATGTCTTCATCAGTGACTTGGACGAGGGAGTGAAATGTACTCTGTCCAAGTTTGCAGATGACACAAAGCTATGGGGAGAAGTGGACACGCCAGAGGGCAGGGAACAGCTGCAAGCAGACCTGGACAGGTTGGACAAGTGGGCAGAAAACAACAGAATGCAGTTCAACAAGGAGAAGTGCAAAGTGCTGCACCTAGGGAGGAAAAATGTCCAGCACACCTACAGCCTAGGGAATGACCTGCTGGGTGGCACAGAAGTGGAAAGGGATCTTGGAGTCCTAGTGGACTCCAAGATGAACATGAGTCGGCAGTGTGACGAAGCCATCAAAAAAGCCAATGGCACTTTATCGTGCATCAGCAGATGCATGACGAATAGGTCCAAGGAGGTGACACTTCC